TATTTAGGGTAGCAAGGATGCTATATGGTACATCAATGCACCACATGTGTTGCCTGTTGGATTGCCAACAGATCATATCCATCTAGATTTTCTAGTGTACATAATCCATCTAGATTTTCTAGATGCCATTTTATAGACTGGTGGCCTGAACTGAACCATTTCTATATTAGCTAAGCTGCATTCTAGAGAGAGAGAGAGAGATGAAAAGGAAAAACCATTTGATTTGCATGTTTTATTATACAAAATTAACACATCTTTATTGGGTGGTGATGACATAATACAAAATCTTAATTATAGGAGAAAAAAGAAGAAAAGAAAGCTAGGCATAATTAGGAGGTAATGCTAATTAGGGTTTTGAAGTGCTGTTCACATGATTAGGAGGTTTTGTTTTAAGAACTGGATTGCTCTCAAAGAAATTAGTGGGCCGAAGCTCAAACCCACCACTTAATGTTGGCATGATTGGGAAATCTTCTTGGCAAGGAACATGATGAAAGCCCATGGTGTACCACAGCACTATGTCCTTATTTTCGATCCCTCGGTTCCTGCAGTGCATTAATTTTGACATAAATTTAGGGGTGAAGTTGTTGTACAAATAGTATTATTGAAATTGTCAAACTCACACCAAATGTTAATATATACCTGAGGGTCCAAGTAGCCAATGTATCATCTCCATGGCTCCGATCAATATATTGTCCTCCTGCCCATTTTTCAGACTTGTTATAAGGCGTGACCCATACATTGTAATTAGTGAAGGCACCTCGGATTTGTGGGAAATCATCAGAGGATAAAAGTGGGTTTGAAATTGACCCTGGAATCAGACGGTAGCCTATGTTGTTTCCAGGTTTGGTCTTCTTGTTAGGGTTCACCACAACTAGCTCCGATGGCTTCAAACCCAACTGAATTTTGGCATCTGATTCAGTTTTAGCTGTCTCACTCTCGACTGTCCAATAACTCTTCCTAAGTGAGCTCTTGTCTGTCACTCTTTTTGTCACCAAATTGTTTTTGACAAAGGAGTTGGCTTCGCCATCCACGTCAAGAT